TATAAAAAAAAAATAGAAAATAGCGAGCTCGTATCCGATCCTCCGTTTCACGAAAGCTACTATCGAAATCAGCCGTGATCACAAGGCCTGGCGGCGGATGATTGGAGGGGAAAAAAAATAATAATAATATTTATTCGAACGACTTGCCAGTTTCGTTGCACAGTATACTACGAAGTAGGTTCGAGCGAAAGAAAATCCATACAAAAAAATGAAAAAGAAACGAATGAAGTAAGAAAGCAAATCAATAATTACGGAAAGAGATCTATAGATTACGGATTGATGGATGAGTTGCATAGCTATTTGAGAAGTTTCACGAAATATCGATGTATATATTTTAAGTTTGTATTATAATGCCCCCCACTTAATTTGTATGAAATGGAGAATTTCAGACATTAAAATGATGATATAAAAGCCTCGGTATTGTTCTTCTGTGCCACCTTTACTTTCGCCTTCCGTCGAGCGGAACGTAATCTCTATACATAGATTACATAAATTGACCGACTTATGTAAGTTGCATTGATCGATCACAAATGTGTCGTGTGCACTTTACAAAGGCATCACTGTCCTAGATGCTTCTTACTTGTATTGCACGTGTAACATCATATATGTCACATTCAATAAAATCAAGAGGAATATACAATATTTGCAATAAAATTATACAGGATGTCCCAGTATTGATGGTACAACCGGGGAGGGGATGATTCTACCTGAAAAAATAAGTCGAAAATATAGAATAAAGTTCATTTGAGACTACGTTATCGAGAAAATCTGTTACCTACCCGTGGAATTGAATAGGACTTGGCTAGCGCGGCTGTTCATTGCATTTCTATTCTACTTACTACTATGATGAATAGATGCATTTCCGATTAATTTTCAAAGCCGATTTTTTCGAGAATAAAAGCGTCAAATGAACAAAATGTATTCCATATTTACGACTTATTTTCTCATCTAGAATCACCCCCTCCTCGGTTGTAGCATTAATAATGACACGCCTTGTATTCAACATTATTAATTCGAGTATTAATAATAATTCAATTAGTTTATTTTAGCCTAAAAAATATCGGTTGAAGAATCAAGTATTCATACTGCCTATTCACGCGTTATTGAATTTCTTTCATTTCTTCTGCTGTGATTAGTTTTTTTAGGGTATACGGAAGTCGTGAATATCTTTCGAGAATTATTGCCCCATTTTTATACACATCGTCTTTTTCAACGACAATGTTCGAAGGAAGAACATGAAAGAACGGAAGGAAATACGGAACACGTCGATTTTTTTCTTTTGTTTTTCTATTTGTTCAACGGTGCATCCAACGACGCACGGGTGGAAGACTATGCGCAGTGCAGTATCACATGTCAATGAACGCTGCGCATGCACCTACCGGTAGAGAGACATGGCAGATGTATCGGCTGCTTCTTATTGTTGACTATTTTTGACAGATAAAAAGTTACTGCGAAGCCAGTTGAAGGACAATGATAACGGGTACATTAGATAATAATTCATAAAGCCTTCTTTAACCTATATATCTGTGGAGTACAATATGTCGAATACACGAGAGTCAGAGGTAAGGCTTTTTTTTGTAGATTTCTTATCGAGTTTTAAGATTTACGTTTCTTTTTTTGTGTCAATACAATCAGCCAGCTGACTCAATGAACACTTGTGAAATACAACATTAGAATATAAGATTAATCATAAAAGAGGTCAAGAACATTACGTACATTGACTCATGATTTCATACAATTAGTAAATAGTTTATAGTTTAGGCTTAAGTAGATGTTACAAAGAGATAAACTGTATCTATTTTGTAATGTTACTGTATATTTATTGAAGGTTCAAAGCCTCAAGGAACGTGGAAATGCATGCGTGAAGGAGCAAAAGTATGCAGAGGCTATGTTTCACTACACACATGCAATTAAACTAGATCCACAGAATTATTCTTTGTACAGTAATAGATCATTTGCCTTTTTAAAACTGCAACAATACCATTTTGCAATGGAGGATGCTCTGATGACAATTCAATTGAAGCCTGATTGGACCAAAGTATGCATAAACATTTACTCCTGTATATATTAAAAAGAAATGATTTTATGCAATATATCCATAACTTATGTAACATTCCATTAAACTATAGCATGTATAATATTTTCACAGGGGTATTTTAGGAAAGCTGAAGTAGAATCTCAAACATTTCGCTTCAGTGAAGCACTTCAATCTTACAACAAGGCTTTATCTCTTCAACCAAATGAACCAACAATATTAGAAGCAATGAATAGAGTATCCATATTATTGATAAAAGATAAAAGAGGTATTGTATTATTTGTGCAAGAAGAAAAATAATGATATTGATAATGCTTATTATGATATTTTAATATTGGATTATTTTATAGCTGATCAGCAGATACCTTGGCTTGGGGCTGGTGTTGGTATCATACTTGGAGTAATGGTTGTAATTGCTGACTATGTTGTCACAAATAAACCTACATTAACGGTACATATATTACTTTCATATTCTTGAAAGTTAAGAATTTGTAAACTATTTTTACAATAATTGTTTCACTTCTTTTTGAATACAGCATCCACTATTAATGGCCTTATTGACAATTTCTATAGCAATGCTAGGATTTTGTATTGCTAAGGGATTTCGTTATTTTGTAAAGTGTCAAAGAAAATCATTGTTGGACCCACCAATGGATCTGTTTGGTGAAGATAAAGAACAATTGGATGATGATGATGCTGAAATGAATAATGAAAAAGATAAGCATCCAAAATATAGTAAAGCACAAGCACGGCAAAGATTTAAGAAAGGAAAATCATAGTGTTTTTATACCATTGATATATGTGCATTTTTACGCAAATTTGAAGTTCTTAATTCATACACATTTTAAGATCTCAGGAAAACTCTGATTATTTATAACCAATGTTATTACATTGGCAGATGAATATACCGTTTACCTTTTATACTTGAGTTATTGTTAAATAATGTTAAAACATCGAGAATGTGTGACAGAGTTTCTGCACCTCTTTATATTTTATGTTAAAGTGTTTGAATGTGAAACCAAACTCGCTAGTTAGTAACCAAGTCCAAGCACTGCAAATGCAATTACATTTCAAGCTGTTTAAGAGATATCATAGGTAGTAAGATTGCAATTGTCGGTAAGTTAATCAGTACAAATATTTTGAAATTATAAATTTTACATTGGAACAAAAATTTACTTGTTATATAAATTTCAACAATATTTATGTATGTAAAATGTTTCGATTTTTCAAAAAAATTGCCAAACTTGCCGTAACATTTTTAAGTACATATACTATAGCATCAAATAATTGAAGATAATCCTTCTAATCATATACAACGAATTATAATGTTCTTAAAGTAATATATTATTTGCACTACTTAACTTCCTGCACTTTCCAAATACAATCACACTTTATGTGTATTCTACATAATGCAATCCAGTACTTAAAAGTTGTTCACGATACCAAATAACAAAATAAACAACGACAAATCGAAAATTTCTTTATATATACATATAAACATATAAAGTAAGTTATTTTAGTTTTAATATACATTAGTCTTTTACTACAAAAATGGATATGCACGAATCAATATACAATCAAGAACTTCAAATTTTTCAAATACAAATTTTCAACCAAGTATATCTTTCCTTATTTAAAAACATTTAGCATTAGTATAAAAGAATTTTCAATATTATGCATTTATAACTACACTAATGTATCATCAAAACGGAGTACTTCCTTGTAGAAATATACAAAGTATATTATTTACAAACAAATCATAGACCTTATATATATACAATACTTGAAAGATTTAATAGTGTTATATAGAGACTCAAATATTTAACTACTTATGTTGTTGAATTGTTATGTGAATTCTTCTTAATGTTATCAGCACTAACATTATTCGTATTGCACCTACAAGAATTCATAGAATTACATATTATAACGTTCACGTATATATACGCAAATTCGTTTGTCTGAAATCAGTTCAATTAATGAAGATTTTTTAGTTAACCGGAATATACTACATCGAGTCTGACGAACATCGATACATTAAACTCTACCACTTATAACCAATTATTAAGCGTGGTATTATCATATCAATACCGGAATGAATTATTCTATCGATTCGATATCCTACTAAATAAATACAGTGTCAGATTCGTTTAAAATTAGTCATTCAGAACACCTAACAATCAACTGCAATGTTAACAGGTTTGCTGGGACTTTTAATCTTTATACGAGAAAAGTGTTTTTATGCTAATGAAATCCATAAAATTTGTAATAAAATTTATAATTGCGTTTAATAAAAAAAAAAATGAGATTGAAAAGTTTCTTTCATTGACTATAACGATCACTTATGAAGTCATTATGTATAATAGTAGCGTTTAAAATATCCCGGAATAGTCTTATGAAACCCGAATCTTAAGAGAATACAATTAACATTATTAGGTATACAGATTACTGTATTGTAGTTATCTTAGATCAGAAATACATGAGCGTTTTGCACGCTATATATCGCATGCTTCATATATACTGTGGCCTATATTTGTTCTTGGAGTGTATCGATAAAAGCAAGTAGTTTCTCCATCACCTAAAATATGGGTTGACCATGCTTATTGATAAAAAATTAATTACGCTACCATTATAATGCGTTTGGTCACCGACGAGGTGTACTAGATACTTTTCTGTGTATGTTTGAATAGATCAACATAACATGATAGTATTATAATAATAGATCAGAAGTTCGAACGAGTATAGTGCTGACCAACATCACATATGCATTCATATGCATGTGTAGTTAGGATTCATATACATCATAGACATATATAATAAATTTCCCGGTTTTGTGGTAGGGATAAAGCGAGATCGAAGGATAGGAGTAGCGCTGGAGTAACTCCTCTCTTGCGCGCACATCGCAAAGGGAGGGGAGAAAGCGACTGGAGGGCGATGAGGAGAAGGAATGTTGCACGCATGTAATGCCTCCACTATATTCGTAGGAATCCCCCACAAACAACCCCATTAAAAAGAGAAGTAAACTACTCCATTTATGGTCCTCCCTCTCTAGTGCCGACTTCATTGTTACCTTAAGTTTACGGGACCCTCGCCCTGTTTCTGCCCTGTCCTGATACCTGCAAAGGTCGACCACCTTCCGCAATACCACATCCCCACTCTCTAGACTCGAAAAGGAATCGCGCAGCAGTCGAAAATTTGCACTAATTTGCAGTTTCTCGTGAGCTGTCGAGGTGGTTGGGTGTGTTTCTCACACCCCTCACCTCTCTTGTTACTAACCCCTTTTATGTTACAGATGTTTAATAACCATTGGCTTCGATATTTATTTTCGTATTTATTGTGATTTACTTATTGCGATTTACTTATTGTGATTTATGCACTGTGACATATTTACTGTCTATTTATTCGTTTAATGTAATTTATTAATCTATTCGTCTAACTGAATTTTACTATCTGCATTATATAATATATACAAAGTATTATATTATATACAATACTTTGTATATAGTATATACAAAGATCTAGAATTAGTTCTAGAACTAATTCAACAATTTTTCAAAAGCGCGGGTAACTACAAAATACTGACATGCAACATCATCTGGTGGTGAATTCGAGAACTAAATTAAGTAGGTCTGGCTTTAGTTCCAATTTCCGTCATCAGGTGGTTACCATAATTTTAAAAAATCCCCAATTTTGCAGTTTTCCCGCGCTTTTTCAAATTCAAAATTCGCGCTAAATTAAACTTCAAATTTATTTTATCGCAATTTTAACTAAGTTTACCAATTACTATTTATTTATTTATGGAAAATATGTGATACTCGTAGTGATAAGCTTAATAGACATCGCATATGTACCACTTAACTGTTTTTTACTGAAAAAAATTTAAAGAAAATACAAAATTTACAATAGTAGTTGAATAAATTTCACAACAATTGCTCTAAACACTACTTATGTATACGATTTTAATATGTGTATAAATCCAGTAAGACAAGGCTCAAATATTATTCAAATTTATAAAATACTGTGATTTATCCATCGCAAATAATTGCCTCTTCTGTAACTTGTAAATCACATTATACAACGTGGTTATAATATGTGTATGATGATAGTCAAGAAGTCATTCTAATAGTCGCGTACTTATCTATCAGTCAAAAAATATTCATGAACTAATGAAATAAGTAAATAAACAAGTGTGCCCAGTATATTGAAAAATCAATAAGATTGTTCTGGGTTTATATTTTTTCATTTGTTAAACTGTTTAATTGAATTTTTCTACTTATCAACGATTTTTATCTAACATTATTCGTAGAAACTTGTCATGAATATAAGACTGTAACGTTGAATATCAAAGAAATGTCTTTTACAACATTTTTGAATACATTCAATCTCCTCTGTCTCCAACATATGTATACAATCCTGATGAGAGACTATTCACGGGACTCTTTTGTGCGCATGCGTTCATTGACGTTTACAAGTAGGTAAAGTAAGCACTGTAGAACGTAGAACGCAGTCAAGCTGGTCATTTGTCGCAAAGCTTTCGACGAAGGAACTTCGAGAAGCTATTGGGAGATGTGCTCACATTTCACGAAGATTTCGAAAAAGTGTTTCTTATTCGTTCCATTATTTTATGTGTTCCCTTTCACTGTATTATTTTATATGTCAGAAACGCTTATTACTAACAAAAACAGGCTAATGATAGCACACGTTCGCAAGCCTACCATATTCGAACAAAGTAGTTTCAATTACCCGTAATTCAGAAGAAAATACTTTCATCGAAACAGTGTAGGACGTACTGTTCTGAGAGTTCTCAAAAGAAAAATATTTCAGAATTTAATCTCTTCGTTATTGTAACGCTATATAATGGCTCAGCATATATTATTTATATGATTGCATTGATTAAAATAAGAATCAAGTAACGTATCTGTCCATAAATTTGTACGTTCATTGTGAAAATCAAATGGCAAAATGGTAACATCTGTACGACAAACTTTGAGTGGTTAACAATATTCTCAAATCATGTCTTATTCGACGAAACGTAATAAGAGGAAAGAAAAATGATTATACAGTGAATATTAGAGAAAGAAAGAGAAAGGAAAACGGGGTTGTAGCACCACGGATACCTGGAGGAAAGCCTTATACATCATAATGGAATGCCAGGTCCGTGGCTGTTGCACTTATTCGGGGTTAGGTTGACGTGACGCTCGCGTATCGGTCAAGTGACTGCATACATCCAATGGAACATCTTTGACGCAAGTATATGTATAACGATTGCGCAAATTCCAGTATGTCGCGGGTAGTTCGTAACAGCAAAACGATCAGGATCCGGAAAAGATCGTAAAGAGGTTCACGAAGCAACACGAGGAAACGAAAAGCGGGAAGCGTGGCCAGGGCACCCAATGCGATTAGTTGGCTGGACTCTCTTGATGCGTACGTGATATGCGCACGCGTAGTTTCACGCCACAGGTTCGTATCTATATAGGCAATGAACTCACGCGCCCGCGTGCTAACAATTTTTACAATCTTTGATGTAACTCTTCTTGGAAGACAACTCCTTCCCACTTACTCTCCGAATATGCATCACAGAACGAGAATAACGTAAAATCATTTCAGAAATACATATATGCGATTGCATCAGTGCTTTTTGTACACTAAAGATCGAGTTATTTTTATAAAGTTCAACGTAATTTGAAGTCGAGATGCCGATGACCTCGTGGTACCATTCCCATTTGTTCTCGATGAATAGTATCCTCGTCTTGATTATATTTCTGCCTGTTTTATACTGTATTATCTAATCTGTTCTTCACGTTCGAATACAAATAGTGTTTCCGTAAAATATCATAGTCACTGCTTTATTATATACTCGTTTCCCGTTGGAAAGTTTCGAAACGCGTGCAACAGTTTGCTGGAATACGTTCGTTTCTACATTCCGCGAATCCAACCGTCTAACGCGCAAACATTCCCATTACCTGGTATATGGTATAATTTACGATGCTACCGAATCACGCGATGATCCATATCGTAAGCCCGATGTGTATATTTATACAAGTTTAATTACTGTTTGAAGATCGGTTCTTTTAGCGCAATGAACCATCCACGAGTGGGTCATATATGTATACGTGGAGCGGTGATACCTGGAGAAAAGAATTAATCGATACACGATCGTATGACACCTGAAAAGAACTGTTTAAACGTGGGAATACCGAACCCTTTTGTATGGTTTGGCACGGGGAGCACAGTGTAGTTGGTAGGTTCACAGACACTTTGAGGTGACCGTCCTCTTGGCGCGCACCCTTAATAAATACGTTCCTGTAGACAGCACTACTTTTCTACGGTACCCCCACCAACATCGGTCAGTGTGTACGGGTTGGTGGACGGTGATTGGTCAACTCGGTGATTGGTGCGAGTGGTGGGGGGCGAGCACGTCACGAAGCGAGGCCGAGACGCGACGAGGCGCATGTATCAATGCGCAATCGCATCGGAACAGTTCAGGGAGTCGGGGAGGTCCGTGGTAAGGAATAAACAGAGTGAAGAGACCGCGCGAGAGACGGAGAGTGGGGAAAGAGAGAGAGACAGACAGAGCACGAAGAGGCAGTGAGACGATCACGATGCACGGAGGCGAGCACAAGCGGCCAGGGGCACAGGGCTGAGGGCTGAGGGCTCGACAGGGCCTGGAATAACGTTCACGGGACGGCCGCGGGCCAGCCAGCAGCAATGGAACAAACGAAAACTCCCGCGTCCCGGCTACTCAGCACGAGTTGCATAGAGAATAAGGACGATCTGGAAGAGGTAACATAAATATTTGAAATAGTCACTGGATACGTATCGAGTGCGAGGGGCTCCGCCATTGTTGCGACGGTCGCGCACGTCGCTGACCGGGCGGCGCCACACGTCGAACCACGCGTCTTAGCGGCAATATTCGAATGATTTCCATAATTACGAAATTAATACGTGTGGGTTACTCCTGGAACACGATTATCAGGATTCCGATGACGATGACGTAATAAGGATACTTTTACACATTGTCGAATTTAATCTTTTAATACTCGGAATGAAACAGTTTCATTCGTAATAGTTAGACTCTGGCTGTTTATGCAAATTATATTTCCCTAGACTCATTTATGATAAAAAGAATTAAATAAAATTTCAGTTTTTGTTTCAACAGTTTCTTTATGGTAAATGTTAAATAACACATGTATAAAGAATATAAAAGTTTCTAACTTATTGTATTTTCTGCATTGATACATAGTATAAATGTCTAATGATAACATGTGTTGATTAAGGCTTAAAGAGATTGATGTTTTACAAGTGCTATATGCATCTTATTCATAAGTAATTCCTTTGTATTGTATGCCACTAATGTAACTGTTGTTTTGTTTATGTTTCAGAAATTTGATAGGTGTTACACAGTGCTTCAAAACCTGACTGCAGGACTGTCAGAAAAGGAAGCCCATGATACGCTAAACAATGCTGTGTGCAAAGATAAAACGCATGAAGAAGTTTCATTGGGATTGTTAGTAGTTATTCTGACAGATCCTCAAAGTGCTGCAAAGAGTTACAGAGACTTGACTTTAATTACACGAGACGGTCTCGCGATTGTGTTAGGACATCTTAATCAATTAGTGCTTGAAAGATACCTACGATTAAATGATGTGACCAGAAGTCAATTATTATGGCTTCTAAGGGAGATGATAAGAACCAGTGTAGCTAGTGTGGATAATCTTTGTTTAAGTTTGTTGAGGCATGCAGCTGGTGGAGATATTTCACCAAGAAATTTGTTTCTAGTTGATGCTCTGTTAGACATATTTCAAGAAAATCGGCCCTGGCTGGATAAGTTTCCTTTTTTAGTAGCATCCATTGTTTATACCTATTTGCGATTAATAGAAGATCATAATGCACCCCATTTATCTGGGTTACGTCAGAAGGAAGTTACCTTTACTGTGTCCCTGATAAGAGAACGTATGGTGGATTGTTTAGTTATTGGAAGGTAAATAATTTTCCATTTATTAACAAGTATTATCAACTTTGAAGGATTAAGAAATTAAATGATATTCGATGTTATTAGGGATTTGGTACGCTTATTACAAAATGTAGCAAGAATACCAGAATTTGAAGCACTTTGGAAGGATATGCTTCTCAATTCAAAATCTCTTTGTCCAAACTTCAGTGGAGTTCTACAGCTTTTACAAACTCGAACTTCTAGAAGGTTTCTACAATCGAGACTTACCCCTGACATGGAAAGAAAGCTAGTATTCTTAACAAGTCAAGTCCGTTTTGGTAACCATAAGCGGTACCAAGATTGGTTTCAAAGACAGTACCTGGCCACACCTGAATCACAATCACTGAGATGCGATCTTATACGATTTATTGTTGGTGTTATTCATCCAACAAATGAGTTGTTGTGTTCAGATATTATACCCAGATGGGCTGTAATAGGATGGTTATTTACCACTTGTACATCAACTGTGGCTGCTAGTAACGCTAAATTAGCTTTATTTTATGATTGGTTGTTTTTTGAACCAGAAAAGGACAATATTATGAATATTGAACCTGCGATTCTTGTCATGCACAATTCTATGAGGTCTCATCCACCTGTCACTGCCACGTTGTTAGACTTCTTATGCAGGGTAAGAATACAAGCTTGTTTTGATAACTGTATGTACACTATAGTTTTATCACATAACTAGTAAAATTCTTGAAATTTGTTTCCTTTACAGATAATACCACATTTCTATCCACCTTTGATAGAAAAAGTGAGGAATGGAATCTTCTCGTCGTTAAGACAAATTTTAGAAAAACGAGTCCTGCCGAGTCTTTATCCGCTATTTGACAGCCCCAAGTTAGATCGTGAACTAAGAAGTAAAATAAGGGAAACATTTAAAGAATTCTGTTTACCACCTAATGCAGATCCTGGTAAAATTATTATGATATTCTGCATGTTTACTTTGGTAGATTATTATAGAATAGTGCACCAACATTAACATATCATTGCACAAGGATACATGACTGTACAAATTGCATTATTGATGCATCATTTAATCTCACATGCATATATGTAGACATCTATACAAGCACATACATGTAATAAATATAATATATTTAGATGTACATATTGTTATGTTACTCAGTTAAGAAAATAATGCAGTAACTTGATGGTAACTAATAGAATAATGAAAATGAGTAGTTTCACCACCAAACACCACTATCTATTAACCACCGACTCCCATTAACCACGGACATCTACTAACCGCCAACTTTCACTGACCAACCACCCCCCACTAACCGTCAACTTTCACTGATCACCTATCCCATTAACCACCGACATCTACTAACCACCACGAACAACCACTAACCACGAATTACTGATAACAAATTAAGAATAGTGATAACAAAGTACAAACTAGTGATGCTAAAGTAACAACTAGTGATACTGAAGTAATAACTAGTGTAATTAGAAGTATCACTTTACAAAATCATATCGAAACCATTACATTGGAATTATTCTAATAATTACCATCAAGTTACTGCATTTTTTGCTTAGCTGAGTAACATAGTACCACGTTCTCTAATAATAACAAAATTTCAGTTGTTTAAACGATGAACTTCTGGCCCCAAAATATCAAAGATGCCTATTCCACGTTAAATTAATATACTTTTATAAATATACTTTCAATACAAAATATTTCTGAAGTATATTACTAATAATAAACGCGTTGTACAAGACCCTAGCCTAGCTAAGAAACGCAGCAGATCGATGTCACTACTCGCGGATATTAAGCATTTATACGTACTATTTTAAGTATTTCTTTCGTTGAACACATAATTAACAGTTCATCATTTAGATTTTTCTTTTAACAGACATTATTATTCACCGTTTCCTCAAGCTTGCAGCACATTCAATGCTTACTAACTTCGGTTTTTGCATGATCTTTTTAAGCAGGAAATAAGGTTCCGATATATTCAGGTAAAATGGAGGAACTTAATAAGGATCTTCAACCAGGAGCTCCACTTGAAAGTACAGGAAACGCAACAGTCGAAAATAATCATGTCAGTCAAGATCCAGAACCAGCTTTCAGCGACGAAGAGGAAGAAATGCCATTAAGGTAAATTAATATACTTCAGAATAAAGTTATAATACTATCTGTTAGATCACGAAAATACGTTCGGCATTATAGGATAGTAACTAAAATTGAAGAAGAAGATGAAGAGGATGTTCCACTAGCAACCGTGAAATTGAAGAATGAACAAAAAAATGCAAATTGTGTGGTGAAGAAAGAGGATATTACATCTCAGTTAAACTTAATCTTAGAACCAGAAGAGTTAAGGACTGCTGTAGAAAGTTTGCATAGTGAAACTGACAATGAAGGAAGGTGTCAAACAATGGAAAGGATAGTACAAATGGTGGTGGAAGATGAGATCGACGCAGAAACTATACCAGCATTGGCTTCTTGCATATCAACTATATTATCGTCGCAAATTACAGCCCAAATATTTCCAACGGATAATTTGAATGATGAAGCCTTGACTGATAGTATAAGCACACCGTTGTTTGTTATGTTTCGAAATCTATTTCAGTTATGTAAAGAAGAAGACATTAGGCGGAAACTGTTAGCTCGGGTACTTGTAGAAATGCAAACTGTTCAACCAAGAATAGGATATCTATTACTTTACTTTTTAAAAGTCTGGGGCAAAGAGGAAGAAAAACGAGAAAGTGAACCGAGGTTCGTAATAGACTTCTATTTATATAAATGTACGAAAAATTACATTTTCTGTACCTGTTATTTATTATTGAATTCTATTTCAGTAATGTATTAAACGATATTAAAGGATGGGTGTATAAGGATTTCTGTGTGCATCGAGATAAGAAATTGGAAGCGTGTTTAGTGTCGGATTTAAAGGTACGAAAATTCAGATTTTTACAGAGCATTTAATGTTATTTGTCCATGTCACTCATAATATTTCGGTTTCTTTTGCAGCTGTGCCACGAAGACAACATATTCATGTTGTGTTATCTTGTGCCTGATGCATACATGGGATTCCAGAACGTGGCTCTTGGGAACGTTCAGCTATTGCATTTAGTTGTATCGACCGTTGACGCCTGCCAACTTCAAGAATTAGTTTGTCAAATAATGCAAGGACACCTAAAGATGTTAAAAAAGGAATCATTCACGTCATTGTTGACAGCCAGTTTAAATTGGGAAACATTTGAGCAATACTGTTTCTGGCAACTAATTTTTGCCCATGATTTCCCCATTGATTACGTGCTGCCTGTTCTAACTAAATTGCAATTTCGTGACCACGCGGAGGCACTCACGTCGATATTGCTTATGCTGAAACAAGAAAAGTGAGTAAACCAACGATTAAACTAAACATGTCTGGATTGGATTTTGTATATTTAACGCAAACAATTTTTGACAGGCCAACGTTAGAACTTTTGCGACAATTGCTTGCACGACAAAACGTGGACGGAGATATGTTTGTTGTGGCTGCGTTACGCTATTGGTGTCGTGATTACGAGGAGAAGCTCGCCGAGTTGCTCGCGAATCTTTTGAGCACCCGTTACCCAGCCACCAGTCCGAACAAACGGAAACGATCGGGCGGCAAACACAATCAACAGCCTGGTCCGCCCACCGGTGAACAAGTTCTCGGTCATCTGGAACAATTACGACAGCACTGCGCGTCCTCCGAGGAGTTGCAGCTTTACCATCATGAGGGAATGCAACGAGCACTGCAACAAGCACAAGCGGCCAGCAGCGATTCCTTAAGGAAAAGTTACGGAGACTTGTTCGCCTTGGCGGAAGTGAACGAAGAAAACGAACCTCCGCCGCCTCCGCCAACGAGTTCGGCGCGGAAGCACGCGGCGGCATCTGCCGGAGGTGGCGGGGGAGCTGGTGGTAAAGGAGGTCACAGAAAAACTGGTGCTAACACAAGGGAAAGGTCTAGTTCGAAGAGGCCGCTTCCTCGATATCATATTGGCAGTACATCCAGCAGCGAGGTAATTATTCGAAATTTAAAAGTGAATATAGTACATTTAGTTCAACCTGTCAGACCATATTTTGAAATACCGTGACATTTTAAGTGTTCTGCTTTTACTGACATCCTGTTCAATGTTGTTCAATACATATTTCATGATTTTTATCCTTCTACGTTCAGGAGGAGGAGATCGTAAATTTGAAGCAAGCGAAAAAGAGAAAAAAGATAAATGCAGTATGCTCCGACAGCGACTGACCACCCAGTGTCTTCAAATGTCACATGGACCACGTCACGTGTGTGCAGCAAGCTAAACTAGCCTTAAGAATAGTAAGATAATATAGTATATACATAATAGATTTATTTAGCGCGACTTGTAAATATAGTGTATGTCCGTGGGTGAGTGCGAAACCATAACGATAAGCCAAGGACACTATACCGTATATCGCGGACACGGTGTATAAGGTAACGTTGCCGGGCTCTGTTTCCAGTTGATTTCGTTATTTGTGCCGAGCGCGTTCTAACACGATGACGCGTGGTTAGAGCGCATGTGATATTTAACGAGAGGAAAATTTATAAATACTGGTTATAGCTTTTCTAGGTAAACGCATGTGACAGATGAAACTCTGTCCGCGATGGACAGACCGGTGTATTCTTGACGTTCCGGTTATCGTAGCTGTGAGAAGACGAAAGTGAGACATTATCCGTGTGTCTGTCAGATCATGTTACCGAGAGGCAAAGACTAGTCACGAATTAAATTATTTTGATATACTCTTAAATGTATGAACGCATGAATTTAAGAGGGGAACACTGAATCTGGCAACGTTGCGACGGAGGTAAAGCGACACGAAAATTGTCACCGTGGTTACTTTATTTCTAAGGAAAGGAGGAAATATCCGTCGGCCATCTTGCGACACTGTGATGGCCGGTGGGCGCGTCAAAGAATACAGGCACGATTGTGCTTAGTTTTTACCAATTATTTGTTTATTAATTTTTCGACTAGTACGGTATTAATCGACCCTATTGTCCAAATTTCTTTCTTTTCTTTTTTCTTTTTTCATTTTCTGTTCATCGTACGATAAATATCTATAAGACTCGCGTCTCAACACGCGAACGACAGTTGAACGAGGGAGAGAAAAAAAAAAACGAGAAAATGGTCACTTTTGTTGCCATAAACTGTGAACACAATTTGTACGAATCGTTGATAGCTTTTTATTAGGATTAAGGACCTTCTGGCGGGAGGACAAGGATGCCTCCGGAAGAGACGCCCTCGCTCCGGCAAGAAGCGTACAGTTTTACGACCAAATGTATTTTACGTCTGCGCTTAGTGAGCATAATCATTCTGAAGACGCAAGAGTTTTTATATTTTGCACGATGGAAGGTTGTCTGTTTTCTTTTCTAAGGCTCTTTTTTTTGTCGGAAATTAAACGAATCTTTTTACGTTGTTACGAATGTCTAACGAGCAGTGACTAATCATTCGATGCACGTGAATGATAAGTACGGTTAATTATTATTTGTTTTTTTTTTCTTAATCGTAACCTTTACGATGTATTTACATTGACAGAGAGATATACATGTATATGTTTCTGCTAACGCGCGATTCTATCCGATTTCGTAGACACATTGACTGTCTGGCGTCGCCGACATACGGGTGACATATAATTCGTTTCGAAACTAAAAATCGATATTTGTACTGAAATGTTCAGCGATGTAAATTTGGTTAAGGTCCACAGGGTTTGTAAAGGTACAAAAAAAAAAAACGGAATGCGACAGTTGTTCGTTTGTACAGTTTTCCTTTTGTTACACGAAGATTTCTAATCTCGTGAAAGTTTTACGGCCCGGCAGTCAAAGTGCTTTACAATTTGTAAAGAGTACGTTATCGCACGTCGAGGACCAATTCTAATCGAGTTGCTCCCGAGATCTATTAATTTCATTCACATCGATACACAAGGCACCTTCCAACGAGTGTAGAACCAGGCGTCATGTACACACAAGTCCTAGAGAACGATAAAAAAGAAAAGCGTGTGAAGTATCACCGTTCACCTCTGTACATTTCCTGTAAAATCGGTTACTTGTAAACGTGAGTAGCTGCGTTATGTATTTTCTAGTTTGTACATACCAGAGAGAACGGAAGAGACGCGTGTGCGTGTGTGCATGGTGACGAGGACGATGATAAGAAGTAATTTTTCACGAGGAAACTGGCTCAAGTCGTACTCTTATATTTCAATTACATTTTGTACAATCGTAGATCTCGATTTTCTATCCATTCGGAATATATCTGACCACAGGCGTAGACAGTTTATAGGCTTTGAGATTTTTTTTTTCTAGAAACATTTACAAGCACCTTGTACTGCCTCACGAAGGAGTAGTTGTAGAACTATGCGGTATCGATCATGACATAATCGGGACCTTAGTCATATCATCGATTTTTTTTTTTCATGTGACTAATCGGTTTAGTATTCTTTAAGTTCTCGTCGGAAAATTATCACGAAACATGTTTTACTCGGTGGAATACTTTTATTGAAAAGTACATGTGAGACACTTTACGCTATTTTTATGCTAAACGTCACAAAAAATGGTAAACAGTCTACGCCCGGTGGGCATGTACATTTTGCAACGTTTACAAGAGATCTACCAGTGTACGAAGTCCGTGATGATTGGGAATCTCGCTTGAGGCGTTTCTTTCGTTTCGGAACGCGGCGTGAACAGAGACTCGGAATACAGACGTGAAAGTTTTTTCCACGAAGGAGAATTTGTATTATCTGCACGATTCTGATTTTATCGAACGGGTACACAAGGGCAGCAATTGTGTCGGAAGGCAAACAAAGGGGGACAAGGTAGAAAAATGGTGTAAAGTCGTCGGGCGTGTCGATCGGTAAGAATGTTCTTTAGTTACGCGGATAGTGTACGTGTACCCAGCCATTTGTAAATGGTGTATAAGGTGTGATAGTCGATATTGTTGTTAGGTCTTTTCTACTTGTACATAAACTGCGGTGTTACGTGAAAAATATTTAAATATGTTCTGTGGGAGAATGAGAGAGTGAAAGAGAGGGAGAGACAGGGTATGAACGAGAGAACGAGTGAGAGCGTGTACGTGGGGGGGGGGAGAAAAAGAGAGACGACAAAACAAAGACAGAGATGGATAGCGAAATACGAACGATGCGCGGGGCAATACGAAAAATAAACCTGTAAACATTTAATGTTTTTAACGATCTTGTACACACGAAATACACATGTAAATACATGAATATATTAACGTAACGCGAGCATAAACATTTAATGTTTTTAACGATCTTGTACACACAGATTACACGTAAATGTAAATACATCGAAAAATTTACCGGAAGTAAAGACAGTTGACTCCTGTTGTACGTTTCCTATTTCTCTTCATTCTTCTTCCGTTTCCTCACCCCTTTTTCTACATGTAATTACCGTTTATGGGTATTTGGAACGTATGCGGTACATCTGATCATTTATTATCTGTTATCGAAATTATTATCGTCTTTTATTATCGTTGTTGCGTGCACTTTTCTAAACACAATTAACACCAATCGATTTTGTTTAGATTATAGAACTAGGGCATATTATTTTGTCGTCGTTCTGAAAGTGTTCTTTTAACTGGTTAAACTTTAACTGCTTTTAACTTTTATGATTGTCTCAGTATTTTTTTTTCTATTTGGATCGATCTAGGTAGATTGAAGGTTAGGATCTAGTCCTTGTTAATTTTTGCACATCTGATGACCGATTAAATATTAACTAATATCTCAAATACTCTGCAAAAACGCGATCGATGTACACCATCAATTGACCTGTCAATTATTTCCAGTAAGGACAAGTAAACAAAATTTTCAGATCAACATTGTATTTCGTTTCTCTTTTTTAGAGAAGGTTTAAGTGTCCAAATACTTATGGATGGCAGTGCATTCACAAAATAAAAACAACGATAAAGTAACATAAACCCCGGTAATGTGCTAAACTGTAATGGATATCTAAAACCTCAAATTTATTTTTCAAGCTGTCGCTCTTTAGCTATTAGAAACAAAATAACAGTAAAATTCATGAGAAGTAGAGTCTGTAAAACAGTTGAATTAACATGCGCAAATCGTATGTCTTTTAAGTACATTTCGCTAGAATTGCGCGTTCAATAATGAAACGCCGGTTTACGTTACCGTTTCCCGTGTGTCATCAAATTAGAACCGGTCGTACGAACTGATTAAGGCTAATACTGAATTAGTACGGTTAAAATGCAACGACACCGCAAACACCATTTAGCGGGTAACATCCGTAATTCATTGGAATGCGTTTCTTCTATTATTTGCTGTTTACTAATCACGGTACCATTTTGTCCAATTTCGGACGGGAATGCATACATGCGTGGCGCGACGCAATTCTGTCTCGACCGGGAGATAAATAAAACTACAATAACGATTCTCACACCAGCGCACTAAAACAAATATTAGGAACAAAAAAAGAACAATTTTTCAGATGTGTTTCAGTCGACACGCAATTCTCTGCGCATCACAAATCGCTTGCGAACGTATCGAGAACGTATTGAGAACGTTCAAGGATTAACTCGACGTATCAACTGTGGATGGTTTGATTAAACATACGTCGTGTTTTCACGTATGTATTTAAATAGACGTGTCATAAAAAGGCGAAGCAATATTGTAGTGGACGCGTGGAATCACAATACGTTTTATACAAGCTCGATTGGAAAACAATGTGTCACACGATAACGTCACGAGTATCTTGTATCGATCGATACTTTTTTAACGATACCAAGCAATTTACAGTGGAATAACAATTTACATTTGTCCTACATTCAGTTGCTGTGATTAAATGAGAGATTAAAAAAAAACGGAAGAAACTTAGAATTCATCCAACATGAACATTTTTTTATGCTACTCTCGAAATAATAGTTAACAATAAAAATATACGTGGCTTAAAATGACCCGGCCCTTCCAGTGTTATTACTCTGCAACTCTTCGAATGCATATTTTAAAACGAAGCGTTCAGACAACCTGAGTCCTCTCCAGCTGAAGTGATTCGTAAGCACGAGGGGCGTGACAGGAGATTGTATTTCGATACCGGTTAACGTCACGTGTCCGACGATAGACACGACCGTGTGCATTTATCTTCGTTTTAATTTCAACGTTATTCACTCGTTTAGGTGTAAACGGTGCCTCGAGGCATTACGGGTTTTAATAAAATACACCGAGGATACGCGCATTAGCAGGATTAAGACCAACCTGCATCGAGCGTGTTTGCGCATGTGTTCTGGGTACCACGTGACCGAACCAGACGGAAGTGGAGGAAACTTTGCCCAGACTCTACAAATCGTTTAAGTTTGATGTATTAACTGCCCGAATAAATTCAACCATGAGTGGCAAAAATTAAGTGGGTAATGTTCACTTATATGTACACTCACTTGGTTTTCGTTAAAGTATTTCTTTCTTTAAGGAAAAAGAAAGTATTTTCTGGCATCCTAGAAGCTGCAATCTTTCTGTACTTTCCTGATGCTTTTTAACTTTTATAGCTGGGCAATAACTACAATTTGATACATAGAGATTCAATTCTAATGAATTTGATTTTCTTGATATAATGATAAAAATTCTACTCTTTCAAGGTAAAATACTTATTTCGTAATAGTTTTAATTTTCTGGGTTCGACATTTTCAAAGGGCTGTTCTCTTTAATACCAGGGATCGAGGTGGATTAAGTTTAATGGCTTCTGAAGTACCGCGGACGCCATTTTGAAGAACACGGTTCGAGAACTAAAACTTTAATAAACAGCTCTGTGTTTCGATATTGAAATAAACCATGACGAACAGAAGATAGATTAAGGAGGTACATAACTTCGAGACTATTTAAATTTTTTATCTCACGTCACACAAAGCTTGCGTATGTGCAAGATCATTGGACCAGTATCATCCACCTCCATTCCACCGATTCCATCGACAAACAAAGAATCATTTACTTACCCGAATATCGCGTGCATCAGCTGCAAAATAAATTCACAGACAATTATTCGCTCAAACGCCTGTACACCCTCCAATAGAAACGACAATTGCTTTTAATCGATATATTTAAAATTAATGGTCATGGCCAGTTACGTTTAAACAATACACAACACACTGCTCCTCCCACAGTGCAGACATATCCTCTCGCGGTTTAACTTTCCTCTCACAGGGTAGAAACAGTACCATCTCGTCGTTCGAACGATGAGTCTTCCGACGCGCTGTTCCGCTCCACGTGTGTCGAGTGAACATTGCAAACAATCGTATCCATTCGCGACAAAAGTCGAATATTCAACACGAATTCGTTCGTTCGCGACGTGGATCACCGTCAATCGTTACACCGTGTACACGCAGAGTACCCAAATTACCCTTGGAACTTCGGACGATCGTGTCACCACGATCTCGCCAATTATCCAAGTAAAAACGGTTCCCGAAGTACGCGATCGGTACGTCGCTATCTAGCAGCAACACGCTAAGTAGAGGTGGGTGGGGGGGACAGTGATTGCAAAAAAGTTGTAAAAGTTTCGAAGAGAATTTTCTCGGCGTCGCGTCGAATGTTTTCCACCACTCTGTCGTCATAGTCGTCCGTTATTGGCCTATCTCGAGCCGTCTGCCTCCGCCGTGTCGATTCTATAATTAGGTACTTATACACGAAATCATATCTAGCATCATCACCAGTAGTAGCAAGGCTTCATTCCCCCGGTCACTCGACGCGCACGCAAGATCGCTTCCCGGCAACGTCCGCGTCGTCGACAACACGTCTCGTTGTGTGATACACACGTGAGCGAAGAACAACGAAAAGAAAAGACAAAACATAGTTCCGTTCCCACTAAACGCAAAATCCGTGTCGTTAGTTACAATCCGGTCCACGCACACGCAAACTCTAATATACATATACAAGAGGGATTATTCTTCACCCTCTGGCGTAGACGTTTCGGTTCTGTCACGGGTTTTTTTGCTTTTTCATTTTCCTTTCTCTCGATTCCACTCCATTTTCCTCCTGGTTCTTCCTCCCTGTTCTCTCATCTCACCGCGATCGTTCTGAATTCTACCGTAGTTATAGACCTCGTACGTTTATATATATATATATATATATATATATATATATATACGTATATACACAGTAGCGACAGTCTAGGTTCTCTAAGGCTGCTAAAAGTCCTCTTTCGCACACTTTCGCACAAAAAGGGGTGGGCAGGGGGCGACGCACAGCGCGTGTTTCTGTCTGTTTTCTTCTCCTTTCCTTTCTGTCTTTTAAAGAGTTCCCTTAAGGTTTCGACGAATTGGAGAGAAACGCGAACGTCATAATTTATACCGTGCGGCGTCTAGTAAATCACTTCGTATACGGTGGCCTTCTTGTCCCCGGACCCGGTCACGATGTACTTGTCGTCGGCGGAGATGTCGCAGCTCAGCACCGACGATGATTCCTTCGACTGTAACAAGAATTCGCGTGAGTTCTCTAGATGGACACGGATCGGTCTCTGATCTGCATTTGTAAATATCACGTTGTACGAAGAAATGTACGGGTCATCGTGTATAATGTGTTCTGTGTCTTCTGTACAGATGTGTTGTAGGTTGCTATTTGATTTGTGTACACTATTGATTTGTGTACAGTATTGATACGTGGATACTAGACGACTTCTTAATTAAAAGAAACCAGATCCGACGACCTGTGTTTAATAGATCTATAATCCTGTTAGACCATAAGAAAGTTAACCGAAGAGGTTAACCTGAGAAAGCTAATCCAGACCATCATTACTCCACCGACGATATTCTTGTTGGAAGAGTATACTGCAGTCATCAAAACTAACCGAACTGGAAAGACATTTCGAATTGGAAGACAAACTTCCGTACAGAAACAGAGGAAGGCTAGTACCTGACGAATTCGAAGCTCGTTCAGACCCTAAATAGACTCTCAACGCTAGTCCAGATCCAGTGGTTTCATTCTACGTATCAAATAACCCTAAAATTGTCAATAGTCTGTCTATTAACAGGTCCAACCGCTGGACAGTCCAACTTTCATATCTCTTCCAACCAGGAATCACTCCAAGTCGACGTGGATCCGTGTTACGCACCTGGAATATCGAAGCGCCGTACGGCGTGCGCCATGCGTTCAACAGATTGTCTTTGCCGGTCGAGACGAACCATTTGCCGCAGGACGCGAAACGCAGCGAAAGGACGCAGGATTCGTGGACAAGCAGGGAATACTTGTCGGACTTGGACGCGTGCAGTACTTCGACCTTCGAGTTTTCCATACCGACCGCCAGCCATTCCCCGGTCGGGCAATAACCGAGGGAGAATATCTGGGAGTTTAGGTCGTGCTGTTGCAGCTGTCTGCCCTCCCTCAGGTCCCAGGAGCGGACGGTGTTGTCGAGGCCCCCCGTCCAAAGCTTGGTGCCGTCCGCGGAAATGTCGATGCACGAGGCACCGTCCGTGTGACCTTGGAACTGTCTGATCAGGATCTCGTTGTGGAGATCCCAGACGGCGATGTTGCCGTCGCTGCAGCAACTAAAGCAGACTTTCGAGTCTGGGGAGATGGCCAGCGCGTAACAGGCCGGCGCTGATGAGGTTAGCTCCGCTTTGATCCTCGGCGTCGGGCTGGCCAGGTCCCAGATGATCAACTGTCTCGCCTCGCCGCCGACTATTAGGGTTCTACAGTCCGGCAGTAGCTTCACCGATCTGGAAACAGTCGGTAATATCTTGTATTATTGGTTCTCGTTTCAGGAAACGATCTTCAGTGTCTTTATCTTTCGTTGGGATGTCGATGGTATTATAATGGAAGCAGAACTATTATATAGGACTCGTTTCACCCTTGGAAAGCGGATAGATTAGATGGTAATAGAAATAGCTGGGATCGAGTCCGTTTGGAATTCAATTCGAGGTACTTTTGGACGTTGGTCCGTTTGAACCTAAGCCTGAATCGGCAAATTATGATGATGTTAGGTTAGGTTAGAATCTCGGTATTGTAAGACGTAAGAGATTTATGTGGACAGGCGGTGTGTGGTGCAGTGATGCCAGAATCGTGGAAATTGGTTCCACCACCAAGGCTAAGCGTTCCGAGTACTGTACCGGTGTGAAGTTTTTTGAACGCGGTTATTGTATTAAGATTTTTTTTATTACATTCACTACATACCATATAATAAGTACAAGACGGTTTAAATTGAGATAATTCGACTTCTACAATTTATATAAAATATTTGCGATCGTGTAATATACTTACTTAATAATAGAAATATAAAAATTTCAAATATCTGTAAGTTATTTTTTTACGGAAAAAACGTCGAAAATATCGGTGTTCGTTTTTTAAAACTACGGCGTACCCTAAATTGAGAACGTTTTTGAACTTTCACAATTAAAATACTCAACTGAAAAATCAGAAAAAAATCATTAATACGTGCCCCAGTAAATACTCCTATCAGATTATTTATAGAATATTCGCATGCCATTAAATAGAGATTTAAAGTAAGTATACTTTTAATGTAAGAATACTTTTTGTATATATAATAGAATACGTATGTATATAATATAAAATTTAAATATTGAAGAGGAAACAATTTATTTCCTTCTTATTAAACGTCTCGGAAATTAATATTTTTCAAGATTCCATTTTACTGAGAGGTTACAAAGTGAAATTATAAAATAATTAAATATAAAAAGTAAAACCGTCACAGTGGGATTCGAACGGGGTCTCCCGACTATTGCTCACACGTTTAGGTTGCCCATCGAACAGGGTCTCCATTGACACTCTCATGACGCCAAACACCGCGTCATTGGAAAAATTGGAATTCACACGACGCCATCGAGAGGCCTCGATCGGTCGTCACAGTGTTAATTCGACGAACGGATTATTAGGACGGCTAACCTGATATAATTGTTACGTTGCAGACAATCCAGCTGCGACACTGGCTTGGTGCTGCCGCCGCCTTCGTGCCCGATGTCCCAGACTTTCACGCACCCTTTGCCGCCGGTGTAGACGTACTTGGTCGGATTCGAGATCGTAACGGCGCACACAACTTCCCCGTGAGTCAAGGTATTAATCTGACGCGCGTGACGTGGAATTCCCGGTCCTATCAGAGCGTCCGTGGGGAACGCGACGGGCTGCATTTCACCCTCGCCGTTCGCATGGAACGAGATTGCCCTGCGGTGAAATGTAAAACGTTAATGGCTTTGTCGTTGGTGGAAACGCGGCCGATGCCTTCGATTACTTAAAAGCTCGCGTTTAACGGAAAACACCCTTTCGGGCAACGAAGCCTCGGCAAAACTAATGGCGCACGGGAGACGCTTACGAAGACACCGGAAGCGTACATCTTGGTGCCTTTGTACGTTTAAGATTAACCATTGGACAGTAAGATTTTTTGCATTTAGTGGGCATATATTTTATTCTATGGTAGAAAATGACCTGAGTGTTGTGATAAAGCTTGAAAAAGTTACCAGGGGCTTTTGAATGTCTCTATTTGCTACTGTTCTTAACGGTTTGGCAACTAAAAAGGATGTTTGACCTGTAACGTAGCAGCAGAGATGGGCAAACTAATTATCTAGATAAAAAGTTTCGAATAACGAATAAAAGATGAAACAAAGTATTTCGTCGTTTTTAATTGTTTAAACGTGGAAATTTCCATTTTTATAATAAAATAATATTTCTTTACGAATGAATCGACATTTGTCGAAATCGAAACGGTCTCTACGAATGATCATTCCAATGACATATACGTACATCTTACCGCCTGGGACTTCGCTTATCCCGTTTCTCGGTGGTCTCCTTACGTGGCCATCGAAACCGAGCTGCAACAGACAATCGCGTGAATCGTATTCATTGTAAGTGCTCGCTTGGTACGTCGTCACGACGATCGATCATGCTCAATCGTCTATCGTACTACCGCGTAATCGCGTTACGCGAATCGACCGATGCGATTATGTGGGGGGTGGGAATGCTGCGCACAGTTAAACGAAAAGAAACCTCTGATCGGTAACGTCGTCGACTAAAAGATATTCACGACGCTAACTGAACCGAAAATATCGGGTTGGTGCGCACAAAACTGCCGATCTCAACGGGAAGCTTAAATCGACAAACATAACCTGAAACACACGAAGCGTTCAAACTGCTCTAAGGATACTTATTGACCGTACCGTGACCGCCAATGCGAATCTGGCTAAATTCTGAGAATTATTTTGCCGAATGCTTTAAAATTATTTTGCGATCATTCCAGCTAGCTTCATCAGGGGGTCGAATGACACACTGATACCGATCATTCGACCTCCTGATGAAGTTATCTGTCAATGCTTGCAAAACGTTGGGAAAATAATTCCACCAGGACACGGTTTATACTGGAAAACCTCGACAGTAATAACACTATAATGCTGGACCGTGAAAGCCTCAAATGTCTAATTAATTCTAAAACCATTGATATACAGGGTGATCCATTTCTTCAGTTCATGTTAGATTCAACGGAAACCTCGCGTGTTCAATAAACAGTCACAATATTAGGAATATAAAATAGTATACTAAGGTAGCTAACGACATTATCAATTTTCATTCTCATCGAACGTTTTGGCATCCCAAACAATGAACTCCCAAGGACGATCTAGGGAAGACTCGTCAGGGCCCTGCGCACCAACTCGACACGGATGAATTTCGTTAACCCTGGTGGCAATTAACACCGATCAAGACCGATTTTAAGACGGGTACCATGGATGTCCTTGCGTATGGTAAGTTGCTGTACGGCGAAGACGACTGCGGCGGCTCATTGCCGCGGGACGGCAAATCCTGATAGCCCGGCGGTGGCGTTTGCTGCGACGATGGCGGATGATAGACTCGCGATGCCAAGGGCCCAGGGATTCCGCCCATAGTTGGCGTACAACTGCGCGACCCCCTCGCCGCCGCCACAGGTGTACCCGGCTTGTCGATCTGCGGGAGAGGGTTCGGACCCGACAAAAGGCCACCAGGTTTATTATCGTGGTGGTGGTGGGGGGGGGCTGGGCGCAATCAGAGAAAGGAATTGTACATTTCACGGTCGAGTTTACGCGAAAAGCCAACGAGACGTATCGATCCTTGCCGCGATCCGTGAGCGCGTGCTTCCGGTTCACCGATTCAACCAGAGGGTGGTAGAGAGAAATAGAGAACAGAGAGATAGATGGATAGATAGAGAGGGAGAGACAGAGATACGAGGAACGGTTCTACGAACAGTTCCGCCAGCGCTCGTGTAAATTGACTTATCGTAACTTCGCGAGCGACAAATTTTCACGGTGCGACTTGCGCTGGTGTACCAGCTCGACCGAACGGGGG